AGAATCTCAAGATTGTATGAACACTCTCTACCGCTATAAATTCTGATGGCATCGAAAAATCGATTCTATTAGATTCAAATATCACAAACCTATATTTCTATAAGAAACTAAAACAGTTGGACTTGAACCAAGAAACCAAAGAGGTGCTGCATGGTAACAACCAAGCAGTGTTTACAAGTCCAAGAAAACATTCTGATGAATGCTTGTAACTTCTTAAAAATTTTGCAATGTGGGATGTCACAAGGAATATTAGAAATGAATATGCTGTGAATTACAAGCATGTTTTGGAGTTGTGTATAAACGATTTAAATTATTAACAGAAAGAAATGAGTGATGGATAAGTGGATAGTACTTGTGTGTCCCACGCAATACGTGGATAAAAAGTGATTGGATTGTTTATGAACAATAGCCAAACATGGGTTAGGCATCTCAAAAAATCAGCTGAATGAAATTTCAAAAGATCAAACATATGGGGGGAAAAAATAAGAGAGAAGCTTGAGCTTCTCTTTAACCACACATCAATTTCATCATACATATAGTTCCAGAGTATTGAGATTCATGATCAACCTGATTTGTAATCTCATCAAATTTGAACACCGGAGTAGGACTGCTTTCAACAAACTCCCTTTTCTCATCAGGTGTCAAGCTCTCCATCAATTCTTCATTGATATAAATCTCAGGTTCATACATGAAAGTGACGGTTGCTGCAGGTGACCATTTAGCATGATCTTTACCAATTCCTTTCCGAGCTATGGCTCTTAGAATCAGCTCCTGACCGCGGCGTAGCTTCACAATTATAATTCCCCTATATATAGAAATTAATCATCTAAGTATTCATTTCCCTAAAAAATTATTGCCGCTGAAGATCATAAATGCAAGATCAACAAAAATGAAGCAGAAACAACAAAAAGTGGCCAACGTTGTTAGTTTTGTTACTCTTTAAATTAAACGACACAATTTATCATTGAGTAGGACCAGTTCTTGAATAGCACTTCAAAAATCATAGCAGTAAATCACAATAAAAGAAAATTTGACAACAGTTAACCCTGATAATGCACTGATAAAAGCATTAGAAATATGTTTCTGTACTCTAGGCATATTTTTATACGACCTACATAACTTAATTGAGATAATATATTACCACAAAGAATATACCAACAGAAAGTTCATGGCTATAACATTGTTACCACGAACAATGTTCTGGACTCGAGGCATCGAGGTTGAACCTTCAAATTCCCCTTCTAAATCTCTCCAATCTCCTGTCTTTTGATGCAAGGGGAATCCAAATAATGTATAATTTCAGATTCATAATTCATTACTAAATCTTTAATGGTATACTTTTCAAAAACTCCATATTTTGACAGTGGAGATGGCGCCTTATTCAGGTTTCATTAACGGCCTTAATCTAACTTAGAGATGAAAAAAATGTCAAGCACACCCTTATTTAAAAAGGTTTACTTCAACAAAGTTGTTTTTTAATATAGGTTTCCTCTTTAGATTTTCATGATTACTCCACTCATTTTTTGAATTTTCACAAAGCATGTCTTGCCAACAGTTTGTCTTGCCAATACAGATGAGGAAAGAAATAAAGAATCATAGGAATGCCCAAATTGTTGATCATTAAAAGAATTTGGACGTGCATCATCCCTATTGCGACCAGACATAGATCTTCACATTTACAGTTGAATTTTTCTTGATAGAGGATAACTTGATCCCATACAGTTAACTCAACAGACAAGATAGTACATATTGAATTATCTTGACAGAGTAAAGTTTAGGGACAACTCCCTACCTTATTAACTCAGTAACGTTAACTTAACCAGAGCCATTGTAAGGGCTAAGAATGAAAAATCAAATCAACGAGGTTATAATTTGTTTCTGAAAGCCTTTTTTATTCATTTTTCTATCAATCTTGGTCCATTCTCGACACAATTCCAAATCCTTCAACCCTATATTACTTGCAATATCCCATTTTAAATTACACAAATTAACATGTCACTGACAGAGATACGCAACTAAATGTATATACGAATCCATTCACAAAAGCTTCCAGGATCAAGACTTCCCCACACACTATAGATCTTTAGTAAAAGCATTCACATTTTTGTAAGGCTCCAAAAACCATAACTAAATCACATAATTTCCGCGAAGGAATAAAATTCGCATGACACTTGATGATGACAGTGAATTGGAAAAAGCATTATGCAAATTTCTAAGATGGCAAACAAATTACAATAATTAGCTTTCTGCTTCTGGGCAACAAGTGCCATACAAACTATATTCTTTACCAATGGCAATACATATTGTTTAGATGCCTTCAAGCTACTAGTGGAGCATGTATTCCACCAAAATCTTAGGGGGTTTATTTTTTTTATTTTTTATTTTTTGTATTAATATTTTGGTTGGGTTGTGGGGTTGGAGACAAGGAAAAAAAATATTATTTCCAATTGGGATGGGTACATGAATACTTTCTCACCATTACTCCAGTTCATCACTAAATCCCTTGGAATTTCAATGGAACAAAATCATTTGCAACTACAACAAGCCATGTTAAGCCTATATTCTGTCCTATGGACATAACAGGACTTTCATCTTCACACTTTTCCTCTTTTATCAACATCTTTGTAATCTTCCATTTGAAAATAAGTTAACCTATACACTCTTTCAATTTTATTGTAACCTTTAATTTGCATATCTTCCCTGCAAACCCCTTTTCTTCAAAAAATCACACCTCAACTTCACTGTGTTTGACATTCCCAAAAAGAAATTGGAAATTCTGCGCAACCCCTACAAGAGTACAAGACTCAATACTTACCCTATGATTTTACAGCCATCTATATCACCAGCACAAAAAGGATAACTGCTTACGGAATAAACAGAAAAACCTTATCTTCAAACCAATAATTACTTTCATTTACCACCATACCCAAGTAGAATAACATAAAATTTGAGAATCCAACGTACATATACCACACAAGAGCAGAGAGATGGAGAGAAATGTATACTTATTCTCCAAGTTCTCAAAGCCAGAAGAAGAATCCGTAAAATCAACAGGTACAACCGTGTGGTCAGAGCTATACAAATCCTTAGAAGTGACATCGAGGGTCTGGTCATTAATACACTTTGCTCTCAGATGAAACTCCACAGAGCAGTACTCGCATTGACCATCTCCATCACAGGCATCACAGTCTCGGGAAAACCTCATCCCCATGGCACGTTCGCTGGTAAGCGGAATGAGCCCTAGGCGGTGGGCGATGAATTCGTCGTTAAGAACGGACGAATTCACCTCGATTTCGACCAAATCGATGGCGATTGTCGGCACCTCCGCAATCATCACTCGCCGGAGCGCGTTGGCGATACTCGCGTCCGTCTCCCGCAGCTCGAATTTCATGTAATCGTCCCTCACCTCCCGGATTTTGATCTTCGGGAATCTCTGGTACGATGCGCCTTCCATTGTCAGCTCTGCTCTCTCTCTCAACGGAGAGGGAATCACTCAGGCACTGAGCGAGGGTTTTAGGTAAACCCTCCGCAAGATTTTGAAATAATTTATACGAAGATTTTCATTACCGGTCCCCAATATATGAAAATCATCACAACTTGGTCCTCCACCTATCTACTTGGCAGTATCGTTCCCAGCCTATTTGCTTGTGAAAACATTTAGTCCTTGATGCTATTTTGTCCATGTTTGATTCAGCTCAAAAGTTGGATTAAAATCTAAATCAAAATCAATAACAAATTATAACCACACATTTCATGGACTTTACTTTAACCATATGTTTCATCAACTTTTATCAAAAAATATAAAAAATTTAATTTTTATCTAAATCTAACAAGAGCTTTACGTCATTTCGACCTTTTAAGTGTACAAGTGACTTGTACTTTCTGAAATTTTAAAGGGTAGAATAGTCGGGTCGTTTGCTCAATTATAAGCCCCTATTTGTTTAGATTAAAGTTTTGATAAAATAATAATAATAATAATAATAATAAGTTAAAGTTAATGATTGATTTTAATTGTATATTTATGAGATCCGCATATTTTATCAACCTTTCGATCACATATTTTATCAAAATTTATAGAGGATCGATTTAACGTGAGAGAAGTTAAAAAGAGTTTTTGAAACTCAAAATATGCTTTTTAAACTTATTTGACTAAACATGGGCTTAAGTTTTAGAGTGAAAGAAGAGATCGAAGTTTGGAAAGAAGTAGAAGTATAGTAGATAGAGTACAAACGGCTGCCACACAAACACTTCAAATAATTAATTATTTATTTAATACTCATCCGACTAAAAGGAAAAAGGTTTTATCTTGTCACATTAGATCATTTCAAAAAGACTCTCTATTTATGAAGAACATTTTATACATGATAAAGAGCATTTTTAAATTCAAAGTAATATTTTTTACACACTCCAACAAGCTCTCTACTTTAATTCTTTATTTTGTTTATTCAAATAAATATTTAATAATTTCTCCACATATTTTATTTGAATATAATTTTTTACATATTAATGACCAATCAATTTAAATGTAATTTGAAAATTTTAAATTGTAGAGCGTTGAAATTTGCAATGTATTAAGCCCTCGTTTGATTTTAATTTTTTGGTCACAAAAATGAAAAATATGACATTTATCCATCACATCAAACCATCATATTTGACTTTTTATCTCTTGTGTGAGTTTCTTAACGACTATATTTTTCATTCTCATTCTTATAAAAATGGATACCAAACAGAGCCTAAATACAATCATTGTACATTAAGAATAAAAAGTGAATTTAGCTCTCTAAATTTGGAGAGTCAAACACACTTTACTTTAAAAAGTTAAAATAGAGTCTTTTGGAGCTCATTTTTAAGTATTGACTCTTTAAAATAGAGAGTATTTTGTATTTAAAGAGTCTCTTGAAAATAGTCGTAAACATACTTGTCTATCTTGTTATACTAACATTATTTTATACAACTGTTTTGATTCTGAACTAAAAATTATACAGAAGGAACAAGAATAATGAATCAGCAATACATATAATTTTTTTCCAAAATAATCACTTTTGTTGGAAGTAGATCAACTACAAGAAAAGATAACAATATAATAGACAACATTTTTTAAAAGTACAAGTTTTACAGGCACCAAACAGAGAGAAATAAATCTAATCAATTTTTGGATGCAGATTGGAAGATGAAGACTGCTGTCAAAACTCCCACCAGAGCTGTAACAGCCAAGGCCACAGCAGGCATGGGGGACGTGAGCCCGAAATTCTGCGAGATTAGGGGGGAAAAAATGCTCAATGAAAAGCTAATGGTTAAAAAATGTACCAACACAGAACAGGCAACGAAAAGAAAGGAAGAAACAGAGACGAATTTAACCGCTATAACTACCGCTAGACTTCAATGATTCAACTTTCACTTCTGGAAACACGATCATCGGTACAGATGAGATGTTATTTGAATTTAGCAGGTGTTTAGATGGAATAGTTAACACAGTTTGAAGGAAAATTCCGTTAAAGACTAAATTTAACAAAATATATGTTTCATCCTAACAACTTTTAGCTGAGTTGATTCAACATTTTCTCTCTTGTAAACATCCGAGCTGTGTGTGGGTATGCATGTGTGTCCCTTCCCAAACAGAGCTTAAGCATTTTGATGAGACCATTCCACTGAAAAATCCAGAAGATTCAACATGCCATCTGGCTTGCATGACAGGATTAGTTATTGAAGCGGTATCGGGAACCCATATATATCTACAATAGATTGGATAAAATTATTTGGTCACACAAAATATCTCAAACAAGAGAAAAAGCTTCTTTGAAAGAATCTCCGGAATAAGGTTATTTAGAGTTCGAGAGGGAGAAAAGGCTCCCATCTTCTTTTCCTCCACCTCCTTTGGACAATTCTGAATGCCCTTATCTGCACTGCCTATGTTATACATTAGAAACTCAATTGGCACTCTCCATTCTCACTTTTACGTGTAAGAATCCTGAAGTAAAATGGAAACAAGAGCAAGATCATGACTCCCAAATAAAAAGTGGAAGACAAAGCAACTGGGGCTTCACAAGTATCTAGCAAAACACGTGCTTCATGTCAACCAAATCTGAATTACACGCAGCAAAAGGCACATATCTAATAAACTGAGTAAATAGCTGAGTAAATATAAACGATGCTATATTTAGTCTCAGTTTGAGTTTGTGTATTTATGATTACTGGGAAAAATGTGAATCAGCATAATTGAAAGAAGTAACTTAACATACAAACTAGATACAATAAAAACATTAGTAGGTAGGCATACCTCTAGAAGTCCTTTGCCTGTTGCTATTTCAATACTAATTGCAGTTGCAAAGCCAACCATTGCCAGTCGTCCAAGCCATACATCCAAACCGTTGCTGTCCTTAGTGCGCTGCTCGCATCTTATGGAAACTGATGTTGCTTTAGTTGCAGGGTTTCTTTGTAGAGGCCTCTGAATCACTGGAAATGAGAAGGAGAATTAGCTACTACCCTATTAAGTTCTCACTCAAAAAAGCCAACCTTAAAACCATAAATGAAAGTCTAGCAAATACAGACCTTAGAATGTACAAGTATAGCGTAAACTTAAGAAACCAAAAGCACGTGAATCTATGAACAATCCAAGGAGAGGGAGAGATAGGCAGGGGTGGCCATTGATCCATGGCCTTCCTCTTCGTCTCTCACTACTCATTGTGAGTTGAACTTGTTAGTGGTAAATCAAATCTAATGGACAGGAAAACTGTGATTCTTCGAAGTCGCTGTCAATCGTATTATCAACCCAAGCACTTGAAAAATGAATCCAATTTTGACCATTATATTCATATATGCGAAAAGAAGGCTTGGGTCAATCTTTTCTATTTCAACCACGGTAAGTCCGCAGCTATTTTATACTAGTTACTGATTTCGAAAGTACTTCGTCTTCAATTAACAAAGATTTTACTCAATTACTATTTTTGCTGAATCCCTAACTAAATTGAATCAATTCTCAGTAAAATCTGGTTCAAGAGACTTCTCCAAATACTGTCATTCTCTCCAATTTCCAAGTACAATCAAGTAGAATAAAAAATGAAAATCTTCAAAATTATTGAAACACAAAAGGGCTTACAGCTGGAAGAACCGGTGGCGAAGGCGGGTCCAAATTTACGGGAGAAACCAACATTTGAACTTAATCTTGCCGGAGTTGACACGAAAACATCTGGAAACACACATATATGTAATCAGTGGCAGTTACAGTTGTACCTACCTATTATAAAATGGGGAAGTAATAGAATTACCTCGAATGGAAGTGTAATAACAGAGGGTATTGGAAACTTGAGCCATGGCCATTTCAAGTTAGGGAGAGAAAGTAGATGCAGTCCTCTCAATTGCTATCTTCGTTTTCGCATACAAATTGCAGGGAAGATCAGAGTAAAAAATCGACACGTGTCATATCCAGACGCGCAAGGTGATTTGTCGCTTCGACTGCCCAAGTGTTACGTAGTGAGGTCTGTTTGGTTGTAATTATGAAATTTGGATAGAAAGAATAGAAATTTTAGAGAAGAATTATTTAGAACTTATTTTATTGAAAATTGGTAATTAAATGTGTTTGATTGATATAATTTTCTATCGGAAAAATATTGAAATTTTTTATCTTTTGATATTCGTTTATCTTTGTTTTTCATGAAAATAGCCAACTAAAGTAACAAAATTTGTTACAATTGGGGCTAGAATTTGTTTTAATTGTCAAAAAAATAAAAATAAAAAAGTGGCTGGAAATCCAATTGATTTTTCACAAAACCATGGAATTGGCACGTGTGTAGGGAAGTTGGAAAACAAATTCTATGAAAATTTTTAACAATCAAACGACACAAATTGGGTAGAAATAGAAAACATTTTTTTATTTTCCATAAAAAAATCAAGGCTATCAAGCATGGCCTTACTCTAAAAGGCCTTTTTTTCTTATGATTATGGTGAAATAAGGATTTTTTTTATTTATTTATCCTTTTTTTATTTTATCTTATTTTATTTTACTGTTTCGGATTGAGCTGTTAGACGACTATTAAAATAAAACAATTTTTTTCTCAAAGGACATCTTTGATATTTTGATCAATATTATATTCACTACTTAAATTAATAACTTATTATACATAAATTAAAAAAAAAAAAGTTAAATCCCAATCTTGAGAGTATCCACCGTTCTGTTCCTAGAATTTTGTGAGGGAGGTAAATCGCGGGACGTGCCCCCAACATGCCAGGGAACAAGAGCTACATGTACTCTGTAATTAATACATAAATTGATTATATGTTTGACGTGCTACTAAGCATTTCTTCGGATGTTCATATATATTGCATTTCTACTATCCCCATTTAAAGATAAATTTATAGTGTAATTCCAACACAAATAATTACTACTATTGTGAAAAGAGAAAAAATAAAATAAAATAATTAGAGGATTGAATGAAAATCAATCCCCATATTTAAAGAGAAAGAATTAGGACTACAATAGATGCAACAGTCACAATGACTAGGGGCGTAGGGATATAAAAATCATTCATAAATACTACTATATTTACAACACCCATTATTGAATGACTATTTACACAATAATTATTTCATTGGACCTTGTTTGGCAAAAAATTCTATGGGACAAAAATGCCAACATATGAAAAATGGTACAAATAATTTGAAATAATAAACTGTTACCTCGTTAAAATCTTGTCAAGAAAATTCAGTTGGATAAAACCTGATCGAAGGAAAAAAGTACGACTATTTCCCTTGATTTCAATTCTTATATTAATTAGTCGCTGCCTTGTACGTCAATATCTTAAATATTATAATTTTGTTGAAGTATGTCTCATGTTGTTTTATACAGTTTTCAAATAACACCGTCTTCATATTAGATTTTTTCAAATTTTGATAATTGTAGTGACATGATGATTCAAAAAATAACTCTTTTTGATATTTCATATATATCAAAGTATTATTTTGAGGGTAAATTGTCTTGTATGGTATAGACATTTATCACACAAATAATATGTCTCCTTAAAACTTTATTAGGAAAACTTATAATGGAACCAAAAAAAAAAAAGAAAAAAGAATACGTTTATTCTTTTAGATACACCTCAAATGTTGTTTCGTTAAAAATCTTGTCAAAAAAATCTATTGGGACAAAATCTCCGTCATGGGAAAAAGAGTACAAACCCATATTTACTTTCCCTCTTGATAATATCACTTGAAATATGCTCAAGGCACATTAAATCCTTCCAAGATGGTATCAAAATCATACAAGATAAATTATCTATAATCACATTTGTTACATGCATATCAAATTTCATGTATTATCATGTTAATAAAAGGTAGAGATTTGTGATTACATCCACCACTTGATAACGTATTTATTTATTCAAGTTTTTGTGAAATTCATTATATAAATAGTTGTACATTTCATATTACGACTTTACTTTTTCATTTTTATTGCGTAAGTATATAACTTTTAGATATTCGGACTGTAGATCCAGAAACTTAGATTTCTCTACTAAATTTAATTTTATTAGGATCGCATCCAAAAATCTCAAGTTTCTCTAGTAAATTCAATTTTAGTATGATCGCGTCATCTTGTTGGACAATCATTACTTCAATCGATATGTTTCATCAAATTATTTTGATTCCTTAATGTAGTGCATAATGTGTAAACATGTTGTCACTAACTTTTTTTTCGATTCCATTTTTCAATAATAACATAACTTATTGAGATATCTCAAATTTCATCATTTCAGGTACGTGAACATCTTCTGGGGTTTATAATTTGCTATGTCTATATACTAGTATATGCCTTCTTAAATGGAAACATCTTTGTTAATTACTCCATTTCATTTGGAGAATTTGGCTTGTAATCGAATATTATCACGCTTCAGGCGTGTTATTGATACATTAGATATAATCTTAACTAATCATCCTTCTAGAAGTCAATTCGAGTTAGAGCATTTAAAGCTGGTATGTGATATATTGTTAATCTCTCTGCTATTAATTGTATCTAAAAAAATTATTTTTCGAACTTCTGATTCAAATTATCTTTTTATAAGGATAACGATGCGTTTGTACATTATTTTCAGTTCCTTAATCCCTCTCGCTAATGTTGAGAGAATTGGCCAATCAAATTGATAATAATTTTTATGGTGTTATAAAATATCATTCATTTAGGATAAGAGGTCACGCTATGTATTTATTTTCATCACTCCTTACTTTACATCTCAATGTATTGTGGTGGGTCAATTTTACATATAATGTACTATCAAATTAATTAGATAAAAAATTAGGCTTTAATTATAAACCAATTATTATATGAAGAACTATAATATTAACATGATGTATAATAGTATTCCCTAAACGAAAATGGGAAATACTTTGTTTTTAATTAAATTAATTGGGGGCATTTAACAAGTAATAATGTTAAACCATTTATCGACGTCTCAATTAAATGTCTATTAGCATTAACAAGACACAGTCTTGATTATATAATTTGAAAATTATACTTATAATTCTAATTTTGAGCCATAATTTCGTAAATTTTAGGTTACAAGTATCATGCAATCATTCAGTATACATATCAAATTTATTAGATATAAATAATATATAAATGGTCAACATGGAGGATGAGGCCCCGTTTATCACCATGATTAGTTTTAAAAAATATAGGGAATTCAATCCTTATATTAGTTAGTGATGATCGATGATCAATTCTCAATAGAGAGAATAAACATCAAATATGAATTCTTTGGATTTAAGAATCTTCTAGTTCTTCGTTAAATGTCCATTAGAATTCTCATTTTGCTTGATTATTGATCTAGTAATTATTTAACCGGATATACCAAACAATAAAAATATAAGTTTTATTGAACTTCTGGTTCAATATAAGATATAATTTAATTATTTAATTTTGAATAATATGATTAAACATTATATAACCATATATTATTCAAGTAGTCAAACTAATCAATGTATTCATGATATTGGTTTTATATTCTCCCTCGAGAATAAATATGAATTCAATATTATACGTTCTTTGAAATATGTTCTACTTCGAGAGTATGTTATATTTTATAATTTTTCTTCAAAAACAATATCAATATTCTTTTAAAATATTGAAATTGTAGTGTCATGCTCTTTAGGAATAATAACATATTATTATTTGAAATAATAAATTGTATTAATATTTATTCTTCGAAAGTAAAAACATAATTTTTAATTATGTACTTCGACAACAAGTAAAATATAACTAGAACATCAATATTTAAGAACGTATATAGAAAAATTGACACTTAAAGAAATAGAGTAATTTAATTTATGTTTTTACCTAGAAATTAATCAATATTATTCTTGAGTATTACTATATACTTGGTAATGACATGCTCTTCAAGAACATATAATTCTTTTTAAGAAATTTATATAAGGTGGTTTGTGTTTCTTTAGAAGCAACATTTTAATATTCTTCTAAAATATTAAAAATAATAATCCATGCTCTTCAGAAGCAATTAATAATCTTTTCAAATATTGATTAAGATTATTTCCTTTTAAAAATAATATAAAATATTCTTCTATAATATTTATTAAGATTATTTCCTTTCAAGAATAATATGCAACATTGTTCTAGAATATTGATGAAAATTGTTTGTTTTGAAGAATAGTATATAATACTCTTCAAGAATATTACTGTAAATAATTTGACTTCATCATTGATTAACCAAATAAATACATGAATAGTGTCATCATTGAATTTACAAAAAATTCACGCAAACGTGATATACAACTACGATATGGATACAGATATGATATATATACAAAATAATAATGATTAATAATACAATAAAACAATCATGATTGATTAGTACATGCATTAATAAAATAACTATTATAAACCAATATAAAAACATTAATTGAATGCATGAATTGATAAAAAAAAAAATTTCACATGTCACCAAATTAATTATAGCACATGCGTTAATTTTTTTTAAAAAGTGCAAATGAGTCCAAATAAATTATTAAAGGGTAATTAGCAAAAAAAATTCTATACCTTTCATTATTATTGTGCAAAATGTTCATTTCTTTTATTTTTTGACATTTTTACCCTTATTTTATATTTCTTTGTGAAAATTGTTATTTTCATCCATTTCATCAATTAAAAGATGTAAAATAACAAATATACACAAATAAAAATAAAGAAAACTGAAGAACAAATTGTAACTATATTTCCAAAATTTTCAAAAAATTACAAATAAATAATTAAACAAAAAAAGTTATTTTTGTTTTTAATTATTTATTTGTGCTTTTTTAAAAAAAATTGGGAGTATAGTTACAAATTGTTCTTTTATTTTTCTTTTCTTTATTTTTGTTTATTTAAATAGGAGGGTATATTTGTCATTTTACAACTTTTAATTGAAAAAAA